GTTTCTTTCTAAATATATACCTTGTAATATACAAATAAATAAAGAAATGGTGTTTACCTACTCAAAAAAAAAAAATATAAATATAATTGATACTAAATAATAATAACTTAATAAATCTATTAAAATAGATAATAAATATATAATTGAATTATATAAGCAATATAATAATCTTAATATTAAGGATTTAAAAATAAGATAAAAATCTAATAACAAGTATATTATATCCAATAAACTATTTATTAATAATATAATATTTTTAAAATAATAATAATATACAATTATTTCAAATTATTATATAAAAATTTTATTTTATCTCAATTTTATAATAAATTTTAAAAAAGTTTTCAATAATAATAACAATTATTATTATTATTATAATTTATAATTTTTTTTTTATATAATTTTATAATTTTACATTTTATTTTAAAATTATTTTTTATATATAAATATTTTTTTAATTTCAATATTACCACAACATTGTAGAAATTAATCTGAATCAATAATATCCAATTATTCAAATTATGATGATTTATTTATATGGTTTGATTAAAACATTAATCTATGTATTTTTAATAGATTAAATAATAATGAATTTAAAATTATTTTATTAATGGTTTTTTGTGTTTGTTAGACAAGAAACTGAAAGTTTCAATATATTAATTATAGATTCTTTTTTTTAAAAAAAATTTCATTAAATTTTTTAATATTTTTGATTAATTTCCTTTATTCTAACCGATTCTCAATTTGTTTTTCCAAGGCATTAATAATGGTCACATATAATAAAAAACAAGATAAATTAAGGAAATTTGTTAAAACCATATAAATCTTAAATAAAAATCTTGAGAAAGAATACAAGGCCAGGTTTTCTAGTGTTAAAATAATGATAATAAAGTAATATAACACTTCAAATAAAAATTTTTTTAATAAAAGGATCAAGAGCAAATAATATACAATTTATATTATATTATTTTTCAAAGAATTAAAAAACAAATAAATAGGTATTTTGAAAATAAAATAACCAGTCAAAAAATACAACTTCATCTCCAAATACACGCAATATTTCTCATCTATTATGTATCTAATATTATCTGTATTAACTTGATTATTCTGCAATGTCGGCAGAAATTGACAAAATTCCAGGTTTTTAGAAGCAAACCTTTCATTCGACATTTGTAATTCACCACTAAATCACAACTCACTCCACCATGTCATTAATTATTGTTCGACAAAGTTAAATGTTACAGGAGACAGGATGCTGATATTAAACGCATAAATAAATAATAACCCTCTATGGCTAAGCCATAAATAAAATCCAAGCTTTCCAAAATCTTTTTGGAGGTTTCCGAACAAAATGTTTTATTGTAAACATGATTGAAGGCTCACTATATTACAAGATTATACCGCGATCCAACATTGAAAAAAAAAATTAAATTAGCGAAAAATTAAAATTGAGTTTCTTTAAAAGAAACTTGACGCATACCAATGCTTCAAAGAGAAAGCTTGGTTATTCGACAATTTTTCTAGAAACAGAATAAAAAAATATTATTAAAAAAAATACGATAATTAAATAAAATATGTAGTACTTTATAGTCGCATTTACTTACAATTTTTCATATGTCTTAATGAACCAATATCTTTTTATCAGTTTCACTATATATAAAGGTATACTACTGACTGCCGTTATTGCTGCTACTTTCCAGACAAAAGTATCTGTCAAAATGAATGACAGGTCTAAAAAAAGTAGATGGATATTGAATTATTTTTATGGAATGAGGTAAACGTTTCAATGGTTTTAGAAATTCATTTGACAATTACCAAAGTAAGTTGGCAAGAACGCCATCGATACAATGTAAATCGCCAGCGTAACAATCTCAGACAAAATCATAAGATAGTGCCTAAAGGAATTCAACATGTCAGATTAACCAATTAAATATGCATGTTTACAGTATATACATGGTAGATTACACAACGCACCAAGTGTTGATCTCCAGCGCAACCATTATTAACTCATTTAGAATTAACGCAGTGAATGAAATCGACACAATGTTGACGAACTCATCTTCGAATAATATTATCGACATAATCATGATAGCACCACCTGCATCAACAAAAATAATTAATAAAAAAAAAATAGAAAAAAAAAGACATATTACAAATAAATACCTTGATAAACACTAATCATTAACCATTCAAAGAATACTCTTAGTGATAAAGAACGTCCCTATATTTCAGCAATACATTCTTTAGTGACTACCGATATATTAATTAAAAAGATCAAAATCTGTTAGTTTGCACACCTTTGTCAATTCTATGTATAATATTGGAAATCCAAGGGCTATATTTTCGGACACATCCTGATCCAATACTAATGAAAATACAGGAGCCATCGTATATAAAGTAGAATATCCTACAATCAAAAGTCCCTATAAATCATAACAGGCAATTTAGCGTTCACGAGCGTGAATATATTGTTCGGCGATAAAGAATGTGCCGTCAATTACCTGATAAAGGGCGATTGGTGCGAAAAAGAACAATGCCGAAAATACAGCCTGTATAATCGATATTATAAGGCCGCGATGGATAATGAATTGGGCAAGTTTTGCGGAACGATGATAACTATTTCTTCCATGCCATACTAAAATAATGATATTATTATTAAATAAAGTCAAGTGTCACCTATTTAAGAACACTCGGGCACTCCATCATCACTGATTTGAAATATCACTTACGCAATAGTCTAAGGACATAGCTGAACTGTGTAATCGAAAAGTCTGCCGCCAACGAAGCCTGTTTACCTTCTTTGCCCACTATTCCTATGCCTAAAATTAATTTGTGTGTTATAATTCAACCAACTTGGTGATTTAATCAATTCATCGAGAAGATGGTAAACGTGCTTACCAACGTGTGCTGCTTGAATCATACTGACATCATTACCACCATCGCCTATACAACACACCCTCTTCTTTGTGAAGTCCATAATTAGACGCGTAACATCAGCCTACGAAAGAGAATAAGGTAAGCTTTAAAAAGCAAAAGGAAAGTAGATATGACGATGAAGGAATAACCTTTTGTGTCGGCGAGCAGCGGCAGGCGACCACAACGGGCAACCGTACAGCAATTTCAATGAATTCATTTTTAAAATGATCAATGTAAAACTATCGAATTCGGGAATTAAGTAGTTAATCCGATTATATAGGGTTAAGAATAGGTTGCACGTTCGATGGCATAACTTCAATTGATCAATAAATACCTGAAGCGAAGTCCCGTCAATCACCAAACAACAATCATTTTTGCTTTGCAAAATATCCAGCATTTCAACAGCTTCTTCTGAATCTTTAACTAACGTGGTAATAATAAAATTGTGAGATTCAGCCCTGATAAATGATTTATTTACGCCTTTCACAATACTCACTTTGCGATATTTGATGAATTCTTTGACCCCTAGATACTAATTTCGAAGAAACCGCGATACATGTTGCGGTCTCAATTTTATCTCCTGAAATGTCAAGACGCTTATTTAACATAATATAAGACCCCCAAAGATCCTATTAGACATCGATAAGTATATGTATAACCAACCAGTTAACATCCATATTTTGAGACCGGCTGCTCTCAACTGCTCGAGAGTATTTCGCACGCCATCCTGAAGCTTATCTTCGACTCCGGTAACTCCCAAAAGTTCCAATTCTTTTTCCAAAATGTTAGAAACAACAGCAGATTCTTGTGCTTTGCGATCGGAAACGCTTAATTTTGCCTGCCCATATCTACAAACGAAAACCATCAGTATAAAATATATCACCCAAAATTCAAAATATAATCAGTTAAAGAGTATCATTACTTCTCCGTAAAATCATTATACACTTCTTCTGATAATTTCTTTCGAGCAATAACCAAAGTCCTCAACCCCTCTCTTGCCATATTTCCACATTCCTCGTCCAGCCAATCGTTATACATGACAATTCTACTCATCACCACGTCTGCACCCTTTTGATAGAACATTATCTCATTTGTGGCCTTGTCTCTTACTACTATGCCCATTCTCTTAGACTCACTGGTGAATGGGAATGTCAGAAGGATTTGAAATTCGAGAATGTCGTCATTTTTCGTTCGGAGATGTATTTCGTTTATGTCTCGGAACACCAATGTTAATCCCACTCGTTCAGTCCATCGAACAATAGCGACTTCGTCAGGCGACGACGCTTGATAAGCTGGCTCCTCTCCTTCCTCAAATACCGGGGTGACCTATATTATGAATTTTTGACGCGTTAAATAAATGCAGTCTGATGGATAGAGCATTCATTCAGCAATACTAAGGTCCCAGTATTACTCACGTTATGACACAATGCTAATGCAAGCACTATATCTCTTACTCTAGAAGTCATATCTCGTCGACTTTTTCCATGAGGAGCACGACCACTTGAATCTATCATTTTTTTGACACCGTATTCTAGGTAAATAAGCGAACTTTTTTGAAACACACACTTGACATACACATCAATTACCTTTTGCCTGTTGAAGCGCCGTAGCGAGTTGCTCCGAAAGATCGTCTATGGATTCAACGCCATATGACATTGTTCCCATATGAAGCTTTTTAAGCTCCATATCTTTTACCACAGGCAATTAATTAAAATTCAGTATTATTATAAATGATGTTAATTACATAATAAACTAAAAGCGATAAAAAAATACCATTTTTTGTGAGAGTTCCCGTCTTATCAGATAAAAAGTATTCTATCCGCCCGAGCTCCTCGGGAATAGTACTTGTACGAACGATAGTATCTGGTATTTTCTTATCATTCATAATTTGATATGCATAAACTGTCTTCCCCATGTCCAAATTCACGCGAAGACTGAACGATACGCGAAACAATCTTAAAACCTGGACCGTTGCAAAGGAAAAAAAAAAGAGAGATGGAAATGCGAATAAAACTTACCTAATAGGGATGATTGAAGAAAATATAATTAAGAATCGGAATAAATAAATATACCAAAGCCCACGAAATCCATTCAACGCGATCATCAGAAAAGACAATAGAAAGGTTACTAAGAATAGAATCTAAATAGGTTGATAAAAGTATTAATTATCGTAATGCACGTCAAATGGCATCAACGTTTTATGGAAAACCGACCTTGGAAAGATTATTTATTTCATGATCTATTAATCCAACCTTTGTTGAAGGATGACTGGTATTCATCACTGCTCGAGTATCCTTTCCAGTATATATAACGAATCCAATCGCAGTACCAGAAGCAAGCACAGTGTTCATCCACAAAGTATTCTCCACATTGAGTGCTTCTACCTGGGGAGTCTATTTAGGGACACAATATATGAGTCTAAAATAATGCTACGCAAAAGTCTAACACATTTAAACTTACAATATTGCCTGGCATCTGTTTACTGAAGTTGCCTATAAAACCATGGATATCCTTGTGAGGAGCATCAGCTGAAAATTAAAGAATCCGAAGATTAGTCGTGCACATTTAAGAAAGATCACCAATTCAACACAAAAAATTTTCTACCATATATTTCAGCGTCAAGGGAAAGTAAACTGGGATCGGAAGGTAACTTTTGACAGATTGGTACAGCAATCCTGAGCAATATTATGAATTTACCATTGAGATGGCCTTTCCATCTAGGAATCGAAGTGCCATCAATATAAAGCGAACCTTAATTTCCAGTCAGTCTCACCATCCAGTTGATCCGTTCGAATAAAGCATGACCCACTTGGTTCCGTGGTTCTGAGTAGAACGACATCAGCAGGAACCTATGAACAACGACATATCTTAATAACATTACATAATACATTTAAGCAACCGTTCGGTACACACTCTTTGATCCTTGTGAATAAAAACCAAATCTCCAACTCGTAACCGGGAACTGGGGACGTTTTTTAGCCCATCTCTCGTCAATATCTGATATTTTCGAGAATTATTTTCTTGATCTCTTTTGTATCTTTTCCAATCATCATAGGCTTCTTTTCCCATTGTGATAACGAGCACAAAACATAATGGTCCAAAATATGTTATGATGTACCCTAATGAACATCAAAATGTATTAGAAAAAAAAACTACGAAATAACCGTGAAGATGAACAAATCGTCAATACCAATTTTCAAGGGAGGAATGAATTGGGATAGTGCCACAAGAAGGAAGTATAAATTAATAAATACATGAAACTATAATCGAAATAACAAAAAAGTCGCGATTAGTATACGAAACAAATGTTCGCCTTGGAAAATTCAAAAAAAACTTTGATCCTACTTGCTCGTAAAACACCAACGGAAAGAATGTTATGAGACTATATTTCTGATTGCGGACTACATTTGGTGGATACTTGTCTTTCACTTTGTCTGTGGATTCATGTAGAATGTAGTTGAGACATTGTTTTTCTCTTCACATCAATTGATGATAAATGGATAAGTAAGTAAACCTGATGCATGAAATGATATAATCCGTGACTTTGGTTGCGGTACTCTTCCCATATTGATATGTGTTTGTGATGCTTGATGTCGTCGGTGTCGTGGTAAAAGTTGTGAAGATGATGATGAACTATCCTAAAAAATCCGGAGGTTTATATATGAGGGTAAAGAAAATTGCATATTTTAAAAATTCGATTCATTTATAAAATATCTATATTCAGGAATATTTCAAAGTAAATCAAGGAAATTTTCTGAAAATGAGAAAAACGTGCTTCAGACAAAAAAAATCAAATCCAACCTCTGCGTAATCTTCGTTTTGAATTAATGGCGTTTCGTCCTCTAAATCGGAAATTCTTTGTTTCTGCCGACCGTCGGACGAAAAGCTCATAATAGTTTTTAAAGCGATAGAAGATTCCCTAGCCATTTATTAAATTATATAATGAAGCTATTCATTACAGGTTTGCGAATGCAAGTTTTAACTATATGTAGTACCTAGAGAGTGTGGAAAATAGCGAAAGCACAAATAAATAAATACACAGCCAAATTACACAGCCAAATTTTATAAACGTCACATCACAATTTTATTTTATAAAATTCTCCGACCCTTACAAGATCACGTGTTAAATTAGAGCAGCATACAGTATCTCGTCTCGTATCTTTGGTATTCAAGATTTTTTGCTAAGCCCCCTCAGCCTCCAAAAAAAAGTTTCCCAAGCAAGATTAAATTACATTAAATATTGATATATTTATAACCCTCCAAGAACGCGATTGCATCCAGCTCTGAGAAATTAATAAAAGGTCCAACCCTTTCATATACGATATCTTTTCAATTGTTTTCTCGATCCATCCATTGTCCCTTATACTGTCATCACATCGTTATTTCGTGCGGCATATTTTTCAAAGATAGCATCCGAACTTGATAGAATTATTTTTCTCTAGAACTTATAAAGAAATATTTATAACCTTTTCACATCAGGATACAATTGCACGATCTTTGGAATTCGGGCCGCTGCAGCCGTATAATGGAATAATTGCTTTCATGTTGATGAGGTGCATCAAAATAAGAAATGATAGAATTTTAAGATAAAGTATACATAAGTTGCAAGTTATTATGGAAATGTTCGGAAACATCATACATCCCGCTTCGCAAGCCAAACTTTGTAAAGATTAACAAGCTTTTTTCACAAACGAAAACATTACTATTTTTTACCCCATGAATTTTTTAATAATAAAAAAGATATTAACTTTAGTTGAGTAAAGCAATTCAAGTGGCTCGCGATTGAATTCATCAGTTCTAGGGATGGATGAGAACGTGATCAAGGAAATGTTCACAGTTTTAGGCGAGATGTTAATTTTAATGGAAGGAGACTCCCGGGATGTCGGCTGGCATATCGCAACTTAAATGGACTAACTTGATTCCATTGGATTTTTATTATACTAAATAAAAATATATTTATTAATAAATATCGATATGATTTTGGGGTTTTTTTCTCTTTTTATTTTATTATAATTGATATGAAAAGTTTCTCGGTAGTCTTGGGTGACTTGATCGTGGAACAAATGGGAAAAATTAGCAAACGGAGTTAAAACATTTAAATATCTATATACGGTTCGGTGAATTTCAAGCCTATATTACTAAGGAAATAGGTTTGAATTAATTAATGCTCACTAATTACCTGTTTTTGAAATTAGAAATTTTGTTGTGAAGCCTTTATCATTACTGTAGTCGAAATGTAGGTACTGACTGTACATCACATTTTAGGCACGTCAAATGCTTGCTTTTTTTCTTGCATTTGACGGTTTTCCAGTGGATAAAACTAGTTCCTGCAAGCTCGTCTTGATACAACATTACGCGTGCTAAACTCTATATATGATAGATATCATTATGCAATTTAAAAATAAATAAATCACTCGGATCGGGTCCTCATGAAATACCGTAACAAAACTAGTCTGTCAAAGGCCGGATTGAACGTAGATACTATATTCAAGTTTTATTTATTTTACCAGATATTAGAACTTACCAAATAAATACATCCCAAATACCAAAACTTTATAAACTTTCAAAGTAGGTTTAGCATTCATTGTTTTGCATTAAATCATATATTGTATTTTTATCAACAATATGAAAATACATACTGTATACAGTATATAATGTTCATTTTGAACTTAAATTATATTTTTAAATTATTCAATATAATTTAAATCAATTAACTTTCTTTGATACTTAAATCAAAATATGTAAATGCATTACATTCTTCGATATACAGTAATTTATGAAGATAAAATTGTTATTAACATAATAAAAAATTTAATATTAGAAAAGTTTTTAAGATTTATAAATAAGTAAATAAATAAATAATTTTTTATTTAATCTCTTAATTATATACAGTACATATGTTATTAAATTATAACTTAATTTGTAAATTTTATAATTTATTCGTTATTTTAAATTATTGTAAAAATTTTTTTAAATTTTTATAATTTTAATTAAATATACAATTATTTAAAAATATGAATATCTTATTAATTATTTAATAAAATATTTATAAAATACTGTATTGTAATATAAATTAATTAATTATAATTAATATACACAATACAACAAAAAACTCTTTAAAATTTTCATTTATTATTAATAAAAAAATAATGATATTAAGATTATTAAAAAATTTATGTAAATAATCAAAATTAATTAGAAAAAAGAATTTATTTATAATTTAAATTTAAATTTTTTAAAAAATTACATGCCGGATATAAATGCTTATAAATATATAAAATTTAAATACTAAAGTTTGAATTTAATTTAAAAAAATAATAACTATATTTAAAATAATACGTATATTTTCAATTCGGTTTACAATTGTTAAAAAAATTTTATTACACACCGTACAATATTATATAGTTCATATATTTTTAATTATTGATTTAATAAGGCATATGATACAATATTATACCGTAAATCATAATTAAAAAATTTCCAAATAATTGATTATAATAATAAAAATTAAAGAAATAATATTTATTAAAGAAATTGTATTCTTATATTAAAAGGATAAGTATACAAATAGATGAGTAAATAAATTGATTTGGAGTTAACATCAACAAAAAAATTTAATTGCAAAATCCTATTGAAAAAATATTTTTCATGTTATTCTGTGGAATTACCATGTTCCAGATTCATGGTGATGAGGGTGTCATTTATTCTTGAATAGTGCCTTGGCCCAGCGCTTTTTTTGTCCATGCGCAAATGGGATTCCCTTCTATATTTAAAATTTTCAGTGTGGTATTCTTGCATAGTACCTCTATCAGTGTTTTTCCTGCCGATTCTCTTAAATTATTGTCTGTCAAATATAATTTAGTCAGAGTGGTATTCTTGCATAGTGCCTCGGCCAGCGCTTTTCCTACCAATTCTCCAACACTATTAGAACCAATATTTAACTCAATCAGGGTGGCATTCTTACATAGTGCCTTGGCCAGTGCTTCTCCTACCAGTTCTCCTAAATTGTTACCAGACAAATTCAAACTAGTCAGGGTGGTATTCTTGCATAGTGCGACGGCCAGTGTTTTTCCTGCCGATTCTCCTACACTATTTGAACCAATATTTAACACCAGTGCTTTGCCTTTCGATTCTCCTAAGTGGTTATTGGACAAATTCAAACTAGTCAGGGTAGTATTCTTGCATAGTGCCTTGGCCAGTGCTTTTCCTGCCAATTCTCCAATTCTATTAGAACTCAAATCCAAATTAGTCAGGGCGGTATTCTTGGATAGTGCCTCTGCCAGTGCTTGCCCTGCCAGTTCTCCTAAATTGTTACCAGACAAATTTAAACTAGTCAGGGTGGTATTCTTGCATAACGCCACGGCCAGTGATTTTCCTGCAGATTCTTCTACACTAATATTTGACACCAGTGCTTTGCCTTTCGATTCTCCTAAATGGTTATCAGATAAATTCAAACTAGTTAGGGTGGAGTTCTTGCATAGTGCCTCGGCCAGGACTTTTCCTGCCAATTCTCCTGTTATATTAGAACTCAAATCCAAATTAGTTAGGGTGGTATTCTTGCATAGTGCCTCTGCTAGTGATTTTCCTGCTATTTCTCCTAAATAGTTACCAGATAAATTCAAGCTAGTCAGAGTGGTATTCTTGCATAGCGCCTCTGCCAGTGATTTTCCTGTCAGTTCTCCTAAATAGTTACCAGACAAATACAAACTAGTCAGGGTGGTGTTCTTGCATAGTGCCTCTGCCAGTGCTTTTCCTACCAGTTCTTTTAAATAGGTACTAGACAAATTCAAACTAGTCAGGCTGGTGTTCTTACATAGTGCCTTGGCCAGTGCTATTCCTGCCGATTCTCCTATCCAATTTTTACTAATGTCTAAATTAGTCAGTGTGGTATTCTTGTATAGCGCCTCGGCCAGTGCTACTCCTGCCGATTCTCCTATCAAATTATTACTAATGTTTAAATTAGTCAGTGTGGTATTCTTATATAATGCTATGGCCAGTGCTTTTCCTCCTGGTTCTCCTATTATATTACTACTTATATCTAACTTAGTTAGGGTGAAGTTCTTGCATAAACCTACAACCAATCCTCTGATTGCATTATCGTTTAGACCTCCATCACTTTTTTTTAACTCGGTTATAGTAACATTTCCGTATAGGTATTCGGCCCACACTTCTCCATCATTACTTGACATAACTTTATTTAAGTTAGGTAGATACGATGCCGTTTTATCTAATAATGTAAAAATTTAAATATCGAGTAACTTTTTACGCATGTTTAAATAGTAAAATACGTTACCATCATTATAATGAACCAATTTTCTGCGTTTTATTTGACCTATTTTATGTGATATTATATATAAATCTAATAATAAAAAAATCATTTATCCGAATTCAAGTTAAACTTACTAGTTTTTTCATTTAACAACAAACCAATAGTGTGTTTTAATGAAGTCGATGAATTTTTACTATTATTCAACCAACCAGCGTTTTTTATAAGTTCGGAACTGGATAAAATGCTGGATTAGTAAACTTTAGCTTTTCAATTCTTGATTTTTCAAAAATAAAATGTTTACTCACGTGTCTTTCATAATATCAAAAGAATCTATAAAAATATAATTTTTCACACAGACATTGTAAGTTAATGGTAGCTAAATTCGTTTATAAAAAATTATAATTACCTGTACTTGCAAATAAATTTAAAGTATTGCTTGTGGTTTCTATGATAGGATCTAATAACTGACTAAATGTTTTATGTGAAGGATGCATAATTCTTTGTTTCTCCGCAAATTCCATAGATTTGATCTCTCGTAGTTTTTTTTCTGCATCGTAGAATGCATCAAATTCCCATTCTAAGGAATTTATTATATTATGTATTTCATTAATTGAAGGCCTCTGTAAAGGATCTTGATGCCAACACTTCTCCATTAAAC